GACACCTCGAGCAACTTTACCACAAATCAACACAAATTCTGGCTTCAGCTGCTCTGTTCCAGAGTAGCTGCCACAGAGCATGTGCTCAAACTTCTAGTGCCACTGTCTGTAAAGAAGTGCCTGGTGCAGCGCAGCTATTCCCACACAAGGGAACATTAGTTAATTTGCATTCACAGTTACCATATGAGGTGTGAGTTTCTGATAGTCCACACATTTTATATTTAAAGACTGCAGGAAATTAATGTAATTATCTTTGCTATAATAACAAAAGTAACTCACCAGCCCATCGCAATTGCTGATTGCAACTGAAGCATTTGGCAAATCGGTGATATCCCCAACATAGAGGCAATTCCCATAGAGAGGTTCAACGTGAGTCTCATCAGAGTCCTCCTGCCATTCAACTGTTGCTCCAGGGGCCACAAGCCTGGAGTTTGGCCGCAACCTGAAGTGAAACTCTCTTCCAAAAACGGTGACATTGTAAAATATTTGCTCATTTGCTGCTTCATGTTGCAAGTCCTCTGCAGCTCTCCTGAAGCGTGCTTTTGGCGGTCCAGACACCAAGTGGGATAGGAACCTGCCCTCTGAATCGGTGCTGGTGGGGATGACAAGGCTGTACTCCTCTATATTCCTCAGAACTGGATCTTTACAGGGAGAAAGCAAAAGAGGAGAGAGATACTAGAACTAAACACATCCTGATGCCGCGGGATTTTTATTCCATTATTCATTAGCACAGCAGACACTTACATAAGGCAGATGGACACTGCACTCTGTACAGGCACTTCATTCACCGGCATGAAGTGTGCAGAGTTCATTCAAACTTGCCTTTTGCTCCCCAAAACACCAGACGGCAGCGTGAGCCTCCCCACCCCGCAGGGACCCCGCACTCCTGCCCATGCAGCAGGGTCCCGCTACTCTTTGCCCACCCAGCCGGGACCCCGCACCCCTGCCCGCCCGCTCAGTGCCCGGGTCGCCTCGGGGACTTTGGGGCTACCGGGGCGGCCAGCGAGGATGAGAGGACGCCGATCCATTTCGGGACTGCTCGGAGGGGCAGGGGTAGGGGTTCGGTGTGCAGGTGGCAAACCTGCAAGGGAAAGGCGCGTCCCTCAAACTACCCCCGGAGCGGCGGGGATGAGTCGAGGGGTGACGGGGACGCCACGGGCAGCGATCGGCAGCGGTGTCAGCGGGAGCCCCGGGAGTTTAGGACGGCGGCGATGGCCGGGGCGGGAGGAGGAGG